GGCTGATCAGACGATATCGAATGTCCGGTAGTGTTTGAATTTTTAATTTTTTTTTTTCTACAAATTGGATTAATCTGAAATTTGGAACATGTGTACATAAAAAATAAGTGAATCTTAGAAAAATATATAAAAAAAAAAAATTACATGAAAAAATTTAACCAAAATACCCCAGTAAAATTTTAGGGATATTTTAATAAATTTGTTTTTTACGGATTATTTTTTTTATATTTTTATTAGGTGTGTCTTGATGAGAAGAATATACACCTAAAATTTCAAGTGATTTGGATTTATAGAAAAAAAAAATTAAAATTCAAACGCAAAAAGAGATTGTGACCATCAAATAGGCCAAGATTCAATGATTTTATTGTGAAATACAACAAAGCATATAATGATTTTATTGAGAAATACAACAAGAAAGCAATAACAATATTGCTCATGATAATTACACTAACAAATAACAAGAACAAAAACATGAGGTATGAAGAGTGCTATTAAGAAGAAGAAGAAAAAAAAACCTCGGTACAGTATTGCAGTCAACAAAACCTAAAAATCGAAATATGTGAAACAACGAACCATCCAAATTGTTGCAGGCCGCTGAAATAATAAAAATACACAAAATAAAACTAGCCAAACTTAAGAGAATGTAAACTAAGGCTTACCTGTCTCAATATGTGGAAGTAAACACAAATATACAAAACTTAATCCCCAATTGCCAGCTACCCTAGTCCTTAGCTATAATTGAATTACTCTATGTAATGGTGCTTCCGATTTAGACAAAAATAAGATTTCATTGGTTTCCTCTTCCTCTAACTCTAGAAATCATTAGGAATTACAGTTTTGTGGAGAGTTTTATTTTCTTCGAATATGTTAATAACAATTTATTGGGAATAAGGTTTTTTTGGCGAAAAACATTCATATTCATACATCAGGATGTTAAGATGATCAATTAGAAGGTTTTTCAACATCAAAACAGCTTTTTCGGATGGATTTTTGAGGTGCATCTTTAATTCCACATTTTTAAGTTATAACCCTATATAAAGGTTTTCCTTTGTTCAATCAATAATCTAATTTAATCACACCATTAGTAAGTTTATCTCGAAACTAAAACTTCAAATCAATTTAGAGAAATAAACTTTCAAGAAAATTTTAAAATGAAGGTAAGGGAAGGAAGAAGGTTTTTTTATAAAGTATTTTTGAAAAAAAAAAAATGTATATGCAATCGAAACATCTTACAATCACCATTATTCTGTGGAATCAATGATTCATTTACAGCCTTGATCCAATCGGCCCCTTTCCTTCCATGGAGCTGCTAGCCGCCTCTACAATTTCCGGAAACGCCGCTCGACGTATGCCGGCATAAACCCTACCGTCCCACCCTTTCGCCGACAGCTCCTCCATGAACCTCACCGCGGAGGCCATCGTCTCCCCGGAATCCGACAACCCTCGAGCAATTATCCCCTTCTCCTCAGCTTCCCTGCCTGTAATCTTCCTTGCCTCCAAAACCACCTCCCTCAAAACCCCCGGCTTCGGGATCTTCGCCCTCAAAACCGACATGAAGAAATTGGGTAATACGAGTCCGATGTCGAGCTCGCTCATGTAAAGGAATCCTCGATCTTTTCTCATGAATATGTAATCGTGGGATAAGGCAAAAAGGAAACCTGCAGCCGCAGCGTGCCCGCACACTGCAGCTATCGTCGGCATTGGGAGGTTCATGAGGGCGAGAGTTATTTGTTTCAGCTTTTCGCCGACGGTGTGGAAGCGCGAAGGGATGTTCTCGGGGCCTGCCGCCTCCACCCATTTCAGATCGAAGCCATTAGAGAAGAATTTGCCGTGGCTGGTGGTGATGAGCGCAGCACCGCCTTGGGAGGTGGAGACTTGATGGAGGCAGGAGAGAATCGCGTCTAGGAGCGGAGGGTTGAGGCGGTGCTCGCCTTCTCCTGTAAGGGTCAGGATGAAAATGAGGCCGCGCCGCTCCAGGCTGCACATCTTTTTTTTCTTGGTGTCAGAGAGGATTTTCTCCTTCTGGTTCATTTAAAAGGCAAAGTGTACATAGTACACGCGGGTTGTGCATGTAGTTTGGTCGTGCACAATTCCGTATCGACGCGGCCTTTGGTTTAATATCCTGTTGCGGAATTTTTTTCGAAGGGAAAATCTAAACAATCAAATTTGAGCCTACCTCAAAAAGTTCATTAGAAGAGGCTGTTTTGGTGGCGAAATATTTTCAAATCGATCATCTTGACATCAAAATGTATGGACATGAGAAAAAAATAGATTTCAAGTTTTGAAAATAATGTACTCGTAACGTATTTTTATACCGTAAATTTTTTAGATTTTCAAGTTTTTATAGATCTATCGATATACACTACTTTTGAAGCTTTGAATTTTATAAATAAATATAAAAATATATTTTAAAGCTTTGAACTTTATAAATAAATATAAAAATATATTTTAAAACTATCACAAAAATTTTCATTAATAAAACTACATTTCCCGATACTATTTGAAGATGGGCTCTAATTTTATTGTTTAGAGCCTAGGCCCTATACAAACCGCACCCTTTGTCGAATGCTACATATCTTTGAATGGTACATATCATTTGTGGACTTTGTCCATGTTCCTGTTTTGATTAAATGTATGTGGACGATATGGTTGTCTTTTAGAGATTAGGGGTTTGACCTTGGAAAAAGCTTGAGGGCCAAATAAATCAATAAGACAGTTCGAGTTTGATTTGCTTGAAAGCCTATTACTTTGCAATGGTATACAATGAGCCTATTTATTTTTTTATTGTATATTATAAAATTATTTATGTTTTATACTTTGGAATTATATATAATGAAATTATTTATTTTTTATACAACATTTAAGAAATTTTATTTCGAACTTTGTGTCCAAATAATGACACACTTTCAACCACCCGATCTCAAATCTAACAATCCATAATACGTGTAGCCTTCTTATATCAAAAGTAAATGGTCTCATTATATATATATATATATTTTTATTTTATTTTTTTTTTGAAAGAATAAAATTATAATTGCTTACAACCATTCGATGTGACATCTGATAGCATGGATGTGTCATAAAGTTTGAAAAACATTATTTTGAAGTTTGAACTTGATGGAATATATACATCCCTCTAATTTTACATCCAATAGTTAAGATTAATTGTAACCACCTTATACCAAAGATAAATAGTCTCATTGGATATTATTTCTATTACTTTGAGTATGGGAAACTTCTACAATGACTTTAAACTATTTTTCAAGTCATTTAGATTTGTAGAAAAAAAATGAAAAATGAAACACTATCTAACAATCATGAATGTGCGATAAAATTTGGACGGTGATAAGGACATGTGAATTCACTGTTCATTTTTTGCCTATAGGTGTTTTGTAGTATCTTCATATATATATATATATATATATATAAGGATGCAACTTTATAATGTAGAACTACGGATGCACCTCAAAAATCCATCGAAGAAGGTAGTTTTAATGTTGAAAATTGATCATTTCGACATCAAGATGTATGACCATTGAAAAATAAAAAGATTTTAAGTCTCAAAAATAATCCATTTTACAATATATTATCTACACCGTCCATTTTCAAGATTTTCATATGTTTATAGATCTACTTGATTTTAACCATTTTTGTAAATTTAAAATTTTATAATTAGATATAAAAATAGATTTTGTACATAATATTAAGAACATTTTACTATCAAAATTAATATAACATGATAAAATTTAGTAAGGT